CGGGAGGTGAGAGAGGGAACCCATCCTGCGCCCAGACTATCCGGGCTGACTGGGCCTCGGTGGTGTCCTCCGGTTACAGGCTGTCCTTACGCTAACTGCTGGTTCCCAAGACAGTCGGGTCGATCATTATTTTGTACTAAACAAACAGGAAGTAGAAGACAAAATTCGTATGTTCCCCCGCACTCCCGGCTAAAATATAAATCAAAGAAGTTACACAAATGAGGGCGCTTGGGGCCATGGCCCCAGATCTGAGCCAGGAGGTAGCAGAGAAGATGGCGTCGGGCTTACCTAACCTGTGATCGCACTCTCCCTCCCTCCCTCCAGGTTGTGCGCGCCCACCGACTGGAGTCAGCCGGCTGCGTAGACCACCCCCTTCCGGTGGAGGCACACTGCGTGATCTTCTCCCTTCCCCCAACCCTGGGTACCTACTCGAGGTTCTGGACTCTGAGAGTCAGCCCCGAGCTACCTGGGGGTCCGACCCTGCATGCGTGTGGGTGGGTGGGGGAAGGAGTTATGCATTTACTTTACGGTTCCACGGGGCGGCTGGGGTCCACGGGACCACGCAGGGGGGCAGGCATAGCGTGAGAAGGGAAGGAGCCATCTAACGCCCCCCACAGTTCCTTGAAAGTGAAAACAGGGCACACCAGATACACCAAGAGGACACGTTTGGTTGCTGGGCTGCTTCTGTATGCATGTGTGCATGTTCCTGCGTGCGCGTGTGTGTTGGGAGTGGGAACAGGTATACATAGGAGAAAATAAAAACCCAAATGGGAGGGCCTGGCCTGGATGGCAAAGACCCACGGTGAGAATGTGGGTCTCCTGCTGCTAAAAACAAAGCGAAAGGAAAGAACATAAAACAAAGCAAATTCAAGAAAATAAAAAAGAAGTCCATTATACCCTTCAACCTTAAAATAAAAAAATAAAAACAAATACCCAAAGTGCAGTCTCCTGCATGAGCATCTTAAACCTTTCCCTTGCAGCCTGGCCTACCGGTCCTGGTTAGCAAGCTATTTACAGACTAGTTTATCGAAACTAAGGGCGGGTGGAGGCCTAAGGGAGGGTGGAGGCCGCAGAACAGGGACTCACAGGACAGGGGTCATTATGATAGGACACTCAGCCTCCCCATCTCTGTAGTTAAAACGCCTGCCGGGCAGGCTAGGCCTGCGGTCCAGGCCGAGATTCCTGGGCCCAGCGGCTGCTGGAAATTCAAGCAGAAAGCAAGCGGATGCAGGATGGCGCTGAGCCCAGATCCCGCTGCTGGAGGGGCCATCTGTCCCCGCCCAAAGCTCCGGCCTCTTGTGAGGCGTCTTCAGGCGCGGCTGGTCGTGGAGTGAGAGACCCATCCGGTGCACACCATTGTGCTGTGTATACACGTTCGGAAATGTGTGCTTCTGAGGAGCAGGTCCTGGCTGCCTGCCTGTGAATTCTCAGAGGGACTGAACACCACTAAGGTAAATTCCCCCCACATTCACCCACCGGAGGCATTGCCCAGCCCCTCTAGGGGCCCTTTGTGGGGAGTCCTCCCACGGCCCTCAGCCACCAGGAGCAACCCTCTAGCTCCGGGGTAAAAGCATTTTCACTGGTTGGGGAGCAAGTTACTCCTCCCAGGGCTCCTGCTCCCAAACTGAGGGGTACAGAGGATGCAATTCCAAAGGGACTTTGAGACCCGCAGGGACAGCGCCCAGCCCCTAGGGACCCCCAGCCTTTGTGTGAGCAGAGACCAAGAGCCATGGCAATGTCCATAAAAGTTGTTGGGTCAAGGTGTTGCTGGCAGATCATCATTCTCTGCTCCATCAAGATCTGTCTGAATTCGCCTCTGGATTAATTTGGGAAGCACTTAGGCATATCTGAGAGCACGGATGTGAGTTGCAGGGAATTTGGAGTTCGAGTTTTTCCACCTCTGTCTTCTGCCTGCCGGGATCCCGGCTCCACCGAAAGGGCCAGTGCCTGGTCACCGCATAGAGCCACAGTGTGGAGGCTGCTTGTTTCTGTGTGTTGCCTCCTGCCTGGCTGTGTCTGGAGAGGTATGCAGGGTGCCTGTTGTGCCCCCATGCCTGTCATCTTGGTGGCCGTCTTTGTGCCTGTGTGCGGTGTGCCGCCTCCATTTTGAGGCAGGGTTATGCAACATGGTAGGGCTCCCTGGCTCCCTGGCTCCCTGGCTCCCTGGCTCCCTGGCTCCCTACCCTTTGTTAGCAGAGGTAGTAGGAAGCTTGAGACACAGGCCCAGTGAGACTCCTGCCAAGGGGGCTGGAGGGGGCGGCACCATGTGGTCTGCTGGGTGGCGCTGATTCTCCACAACGTCAACTGCTTCTCCAGTCCCAGGCTGTGCCTCCCAACAGACCAGTCCCTGGGCCTAGGGCCAGAAGGGCTGGGTGGGGAGGGGTGGTGAGGAGTAGGGTGTCCCGATAAGTTGAGAGAGGTCTCTAACAACTGAGGCCCACTGCTCCACCCACAGGAGTGGAGTGTGGGACCCCTCTCTTTCGTTCTACAAATATTTATGGAGACCTGTGGGGACCTTCCCGTGATGTGATCCTTATGGAAAGCCCTTCCCTTTGTACAGATGAGGAAACAGACACAGAGAGACAAAGAAACTGGTTCTGATGCCAAGGCCGAGGCCAGCATTTGAAATCAACTTTGGTTGACTCTGGTGCTCAAGCCCTCCCCTACTTTCATGTGCCAAAGGACTCCCTCAGCAGACTGGGGTGGAGTGGGGTGCAGAAAGGAACTAAAGGGAGTGGGGGTCCTTATTCCAGCTGCAACCTAGGGCTACAATGGCAGAAGCCTCCCTTCCACTTTTAATGGCTTCCTCCCAAGGCATTTTGGGATGTTGTATTCTCAGAAGCCAAGCGTGAAATATACTTAAGGCATATAGGAGGAACATTCATTCTGGGCCTATGGACACCCCCTCGCCAATGCCTGTTTCATTTACGAGCTTCCACTCTGAGCCATTGCGGGCTTGGACTGAGTGCGGGTGACCCTTGCTAGGATTAGTGGTAAATGACATCCTGGGCATTTCAGGCCTGTAATAACCTCCCCGTCATTAAATGGGAAAGGGCTGAGGGATTTATAAGGGCCCCATTTGCCTTTCATTTCTGTTAGGTAGGTGCGTAAATATATCTACTCTGTGTTATATTTATTTTCATTATGTAATGACATCACTGTGTTTGTACATTTAGAAACATACAGCCCCTAGGACATATACAGGCTTCCCCACGTACAGTGGGAGTCCATTTCTGCCCAACTGGGGACTGCTTCCAGCTTGGAAGGCCACACCCCATTTTAGACTCCTGCCTTCAATGATTCTGTAGCTGAGGGCTATTTAATTGGCATCTGTACAAAAAAGTTACTCGGTCTATACACAGCAATAGCAGACGGGGTGGGGGGTAGGTACAGAACTCACTCCACTCTTAGATGGGGTGGGGTGATGAGTGTCACAAGCAGGTTTTTGAGGTCTTATCCTGGAAGTGTGTGGGCTTGGGGCACCGATTTATCTGTCATTGGAATCCCTACAGATTTTCTTAATGGAACTGAAATGGCTGCTCACACCTTGCACTCAGGACACACCACAGTCTATAGAATGGAGTCTAAGCTCACTCCCAGGTCCCCAACAGGTCCACACTGTGGGAATTTTCTTTGGTGGAACTGCCTTGACCCAAGCTGCAGCAGTGGGCACCCAATAGAAATGTTTCTGAAAGCCAGAGACCCCGCTCTGTGTTCAAGACAATCAGCAGTCGCCTTCATGTTTGCCTCCGAGCTCTACACGAGCCCTGCCCCCCTTTCCCAGAGCCATGGACACCCAGCAGCTGCAGGGATGTTCCTGCCCTCAGGGCCAAGGTGTTCCAGTTGTCTGTGGCCCCGCTCAGGTCAAATAAACTTGGGAAACCCGGCTGGAGCGACCGGAGTCAGCTTTAGGCCGGCTCCCTGTCCCCAGGCAGAGGGCCAGGAAATCAGCGCTGACCAGTCGCCTCCAGAGGCCCTGTGGCTCCCAGGCTGGGCGCTGGAGAAGAAGAGGCAGGAAACAGGGAAGTCGAGCGAAGGGGCTGAAGAAGGAGCGAAGGCGCTGCGGAGGGCCATTACCCGCGATCGTAGGCTCTGGATGGCGGGGCAACAGACTTCTGGCGCTGGCTGCGGCCTGGGGACCCGCTGAGGGCAAGACCCCGGAGTTTCCTTTCTCCTCCGGTCTGGCTGAACCAGGCCTGGAGATGCAGTGAGAGCGGAGCCCTCGGCTTCGTGCGAGGCTGGCGCTGGGGGACCCGGGGAGCCTCGGCCTCGCTGCCAGCAGGCCGGGCAGAGCTGGGCAGTCAGACCGCGGCGCTTGCAGGAAGAGGGTGCTTGCTGGGAAGGCGAGTCCGGGGGAGAGAAATGGCCGGGAAAGAAGAGAGGAGCGCGAGGGGCGAGGGAGAAAGGGAAGGACGCCAAAGGCCAGGCCAGGCAGAGGCGGCGCCGAGAGCCGCTGGGCCCAGGCGCCGCGAGGAAGTGGGGACTGAAAGAGCGAAGCGAAGGCGGGTGAGCGCCGCACACGCCACCCTCCGGGTCCGGGCCCTTTCCCGCCGGACGAACCCCTGGCGCTTCCATCCCGCGGGAGCCGATGCTGGTCCCTCCACGTCCTGTCCCCGCAGAGCGCGCGTGACGCTTTTCTCCGCACCTGCCCTGAGGGGTGCGGGGGCGGGGACCCGGCTCTCGGGACCTCGCACCCTTATTTCAGGCCCTCGCCTCAGTCACGGGTCCGGGCGGGCCTAGGGCGAGGGGACCCGCAGGAGGGGCTGAGAACTGTAGAGCGGGGAAACAGGACCTCTTCGGTCCCATTCGCTGCTTTGTCCCCTGACTTAACTCAGTGTCCACTACACAATAGACGCTCAAATAAATATTCGCTGAATGAATGACTGGATGGTGAATGAATGAATATATAAAACGGGAGGTGGAGGCTGGAGGAAGGCTGAAAGCCCCAGTAGAAGTACCGTGGGTGTCCACTGGATCAGGGCCGCGGGCTGTCCCCTTACCTCGCACCAGGATGCGGCGGCAGTGGTCAGCCTCGCCGTGCCCGGGCAGTCCGTCGCTGTCAACGCTGCTCTCCTTGGATCCCGCAGGGCTGGAGGCCGAGGTCCCAGCAACCTCGCTTGGGCTACGGCCATCCCCGTCAGCTTGCAAGTCCTCCGCTCCGCTGCGGTC